CAGAAACCAACGGGTGACGTCACGGCAGCTACGTCCATCTTTTATACAGTCTATGGCCTCTCCTTGAGGTTGAGGAACCATGAGCACTTTGATTTAGTTTTCATGTTAGCGCTAGTATCACTACCTTACGAAAAATGTCACTAAACAAACGTTCCAGAACTTTAAAGCTTTGTTACTGGTTTGCATTGAACTGCACTTCGATTTATTTTAAGCGTAGACGGGAAAGTGACCACATTTGGTAACTTTAATTAATCTTGATTTGCAACATTTTTTTTTTATTTTAAAGTCACAAAAAGTAAAAATATCTCGAAATATCCTTCGATAGCACCCCGGGGTTAAAACTTTTATTTTCCAAGTAATTCAAGGGGTGCCCTATAAAGGGTTACCCGCCCCGATTTTCAGGGACGTTTCAGGTCCCACTTCAAAGTAGGAACTTCTGAGCGACCCTGAAAAACTGCTGTGCAGGTCTTGACGCTGATTGATTAAAGTCAGAGAGGACAACAAGCGCCCCTTTTTTTCCCCTTCCCTCTCGATGTCTTTGTGGATTCTCCTCTGCTTCAAAATCAACATAAGATTCCCTTCTAACAGAAACCTCCATTTTTCTATTTGCTTGTAACTAACTCGGTGTCATATTGGTGCACTCAAACCTAACGCTGTGGTCGAAGCCGTCGGATCCTTCACTGGTGACAGAAAAGCCCGAATATGAGGCTGTTCCTGTAAATGTTGGCGCCACCTTCGCCCTGAGATCCTGCCGTGGAAAGCTGCCCAATGTCGCCTGTTACAATCCATCCTCTGGTTTATGCTGGCCACCATGAGATCCCGTTTATAACGCACCTCCTATCTGAGGAACATAACTCACTAATGCACGGTCTTTCTTGTGTGTGTAAAAAAAAAAGTTTATCTGAAGCTGATCTGAGGCTTCAGCAGTCGCAGCTAAATAAATCAAGCGGGTTATTATCCCTCCACCGCGGCGCAGCAATGAAACACTGTCTGGGGAAACACAAAGAGGGACCGTACTTTGGAAAATATCCACTAACTGAGAGCGCCAGAGCTTCGTATTCTGGAATTAGTTCGTACACGGGATGGGGATTTTGTCCTCCATAGGAAGAGGTATTAGAGAGCAGATCTAGTTTAAGAAAGTGATTGAAATAAATGAAGCAGTTTCAGATATGATGTGCTGATTTTCCGTGTTCCTCCGATCGGTTTTAAGTGTAACATTATGCAGCTGCTTACTTTATGCCCGGTGCAGCTTTATTAGATTTGTGCATTGTCTTACTTACAGTAAAGCGGGTTAATAGCAGGAATTCAATTTGATACCACTGAGACGTACTTATCTGCTTTGTTCACACATCTGTAGGAGATCGTCTACAGCTCGGCATTATCAGAATCATCGTTTATGAACACACGGCGGCTTAAACAACAAGAAAAACGGTCAAAAAAGTTGTTACCGGCAAAGCAGGAAGCAACTAAAAACCTACACGGGGTCATTTCATTTACCGAAATGAAGCTTCTTTTGAATATTTAAGCGTCTCTAATGTGCCTGTAATAAATGTTGAAGGCGGTTTAATTTCCCCGCTGCTCAATCACCTGCTCATCCCATCATCACCTGCAGGTAAAAAAATAAATAAATTAAAGATACCACGCCCTGAAAGATGCAGCAGCAAAACTCCTGAGCTCCAAATAAGTGGATTTGAATTTGAGACAGGAACACAGACTGACAAGCCTTTTAAATAAAACATAAAGCGCTACCACCTGCAGTGAAACCACACAGACCAGCACCGGTCAGCTGAGGTTTCAAGGTGAATCTGAAAGAAATGTTTCAGGCTGATTTTCATGTTTCTTGAGGATCCAAATCTATCTGGCATGGCTTCCTGAATAAGCAGAGACACCCCCGCTGTGCTCTAACATTGCAGACCACATCGTGAGACAACGTCTGGCTGTTGTGCTCTGACGCTTGGCTAATGCCAAGAAACATTCCAGCCTGATAAAAAAAAAAAAATCTTTCCATCCTTTCCTCTGCCGCCTGCTCATCTGTCCCCATCTCTGACCCCACCCACCTCCCACCCCCGAGGCTTCGCCCTTCAGGAGAGCAGGAGAAAGAGGAAGTAGGACAGGAGGAGGAGCAGTGTGTCTGCCAGAGGGATGAGAGGAGGGGAAAGCGGAGGGAGGTATGCAGGAAGGAGGGACGGCGTGGAGATGCTGCAGAGGGGTGGTGGTGGTGGTGGCGGCGGGGGCGACGGTGGGTATCGCTGCTCATCTAGGAACAATGTGAATGTAGAGCAGGCAGGAGACAGATGCTTTGTGGAGAAGGAGGCAGAGAGACAGACGGCAGGAGACGATAGAGCGCCAGTGACTGACATTTCTCTCACACCTCTATGAGCAGCCACATCCTAATACAAGCTAATCCCTCTATCAGCCTCTTACCTCACCTGGGCCTATCTCGCCAACGGCAGCGCTGTGACAAAATGGAAGACTGCTTCCACAGATACACTCACTATTTTAGTTTGTCCAGGCCAGCACAGCGGCGCTCGAGTCCCATGCAGCTGAGTATCAGGTCACCGTCGACTCCGTCCTGTCACTCACGCGGCTCCTGCTGACTTTTCCTTTTCGGCCGAGCAGCGTGTCACGAACCGAGCGCTGATTACTGATTCATGGGGTGTTCACAGGGGCTCAGCCAAACAGTCATTCGCTATATGGGCATGGACTGCAGAGTGATTTGTGAATTTTTTTCCTCACAGCTGCCTATCGTAATGTAATTTGCAGCGGCGTGATGGATTGGGAGTTTTCTGTCATCAGTTAGGGCTGCAGCTAATGATTATTTTCTCAATTATCCTTGTGTTTGGGTTAGAAATTGTCAGAAAATGTCCAAAATCCAATGGGGGAGGCTTCAAAAAGCTGTTTTTTTGTCTGACAAAAAGTGGGAAAAACTATTTTTACAAGTTTTAAAATGGTCTAACAAAGAAACAAGCAGCAAGTTTTCATATTTAGTAAGAGGTGTTTTTGTTTGTTTGTTTATTAAACTCACACACAGATTATCTAAATAACTGCAGATGTATTTTTCATTCAATCAAGTAATGGATGCCGAATAATTTCAGCTCCAGTGTGGTGTTACGTATAACATTTTATCTATAAAGAGCCAGGTCAGAGCACTGTGGGGATTTATCACATATTATGATGTACTATTATCTCCATCTGCAGAATTATAAATACAAAAATAAAATATTGGATTTTGCTTTTAGTTTTTTATTTAATATCTGCTGTATTGTACAGTGGGGTTTAACATTACCGAGGCGGGGTGCAGAAAGGACAAAATGTTGCTCTGAATTTTATGAATGTGATCTACATATTTATACATTTATCTTAATAAAATAAAATTTTAAAAAATCCATTACTCCCTATAAAATGCACACAAAAGCTGTAAAGAAAAATAATCCCCCAAGCATACCTTTGAGTGCAACATGTGTAAAATATTTATGAGCCAGAGGAGAGAATTTAATGTTAATAAAATAAGTGAACCTTGTTAACTGACATAATTATAAATAAAAACCCTACATAACGTGTCTGATGTGTACAGTTAGTTTAAAGGATTTATTCTTAAACTAGATTTACTGTAACACAATAGAACCCTTTTCAGTTTAATGACAAACCAGCAGACTTGTACAAACATCACTGACCAAGTGTCCAACAGAAAGCCTCCAGCATCCGGCTCACAACACCCTCTCAACCAAAGTCCATTCAAATTTTGCCCCATTTTAGAGAATTCCATTTCCTCCAACTAACTAAGACAAAGCTGTGCGGATCAACACACATCCTGCTGTGTGGTACATCTCTACCTTTACACGTCGGCTAATTCCGCAAATGCACACGATGTGGAATAACCTGAATAAACAATACGCCCCTTAATTCACTAAGAAAAAAAAACAACAAGGTGACGGAGGTATTAAATGTCCCGCAGCCCGGACAGAGGGGCATTTAAAACACACACACACATAACACAGCAGCTGGTCACAGGGTGGCATCAACGGATATCGACGAGTTATAAAACAGCACCATCTGCACAGCGGCCACCGAGCGGCTGCCCAGCCTCGTACCCGCTGAAGTGAGCCTCTTTGTCCGCAACAAACTACAGCGCAGGACGGATGGATGTGGCGCAAACACGGAGCAGAAGCTAACGTAAACACGGCCGTGCGCTCTTTATGAACCAGGAAGGGAAGGGGAGCGTGTTTTTTTTCTCCGGGTATGCCCGCTATTAACCACCAACTTGATCCCGTTTGAGCTTCTTGGGAAACTCTTACCTTTTCCGCGGGCTCGAGCCTCGTCGCTGTCGGCGTCTCTGGCGGATGATCGGCGCGATTCTTCGGTATCTTCTGTTTGTGGGACTCCGGCTCGACGGCGGCGGTGCTGATGCTGAGCCCTGCGTGTCGGTGCCTCCTCTTCAGCGTTAGCTAGCCCTGCTGCCTCCGCTCGGCTTGTGGTGCTGAAGTGGACAGCGCACCGAGGAGCTCCGGGAACAAAACCCCCCACACTGCGCTTCTCCGGGCCGCGGTGAGGCACAGCGCCGCCTGCCGGACTGGAGGAGGCTCCGCAGCGCGCAGACGCTGGGAGTGTAAGGCACTGGGAGGGAGACATCTAGAGGGGCGAGTCCTCAATATCCTCAGCAGGGCCAGGTCACTTTGTAATTTGTCACATCTCCAACAAGCCTAATTTCACAGAAGAGCTTTTGACATATCACAGTGGGAAAATCAGCAGTGGACATAACTCGTGATGGCTGGATTACATCTGGCTGCATTGTTTGCAGGGTTTTGGTTTTTACTTGTGTGAACCTCATTGTTTGGGTTGTTAGTCCTACAATATCAAGTCAAGCAGTGGAAAGGCCTATATGTCAGTGCACTGTGTGTTTAAATACAGCAAATACAGAAATTCAATTACGTGAAACATTTCTTTCTAGAATAAAACTGCACAACTGATCCAATTTAAGCAGTCATATCTTCACTTTAGGCTGTAAGGGTGGAGCAGTGGTTAGCACCGTCACCTCGTAGCTAGAAGGTCGCTGGTTCACGTGCCAGTGAGGACACTTTGGATCTTTCTGCGTGGAGTTTGCATGTTCTCCCCGTGCAGTGTGGGTTCTCCAGCTTCCCCCCACAAGGTCCAGAAACATGTTGAGGTTAATTGGTGATCCTAAATTGTCCATAGGTGTGAATGTGAGTGTGCTTGGTTGTCTGTCTCTAAGTGTAGCCCTGTGATAGACTGGTGACCTGTCCAGGTGAACCTGCCTTCACCCTGAGTCAGCTGGGATAGACTCCAGTCCCCCATGACCCTAGTGAGGATTAAGTGGTGTATAGATGATGGATGGATGCAGCGTCTTGCTTTTACTCATGCATGAACCTCATTGTTTGTGTTGTTAGCAACATTTTCCTACAATATCAAGTCAAGCTGTGAAGAGGCCTGTATGTCAGTGCACTGTGTGTTTCAATGCAGCAAGTAAAAAAAATATGATTACGGGATACAGAAGAATTTCTTATAACCTAGAACAAAACTGCACAACTGACCTCCAACTCAAGCAGTCATATCTTCACTTTCTGAAATAATAAGCAGATCAGTTTATATAGTATAATTTACTTTTTATCATTTTGGTTAGAAAGCTTCACTTTTAGAACTTTTTAAATTTTAAATATTCCTTTTTTACGCCCAAGTAGACACTTTATCTTTTCCTAATGTTGGCACTGGTGTGTGGGACCCAATACAGGACAAGATAATGACAGATGAATGTATACTATCATATGCAGGAAGGATCACTTGAGATGTCAAAGAAATTGAGAAAAAATACATGTGGTTGCTTCAAATAATTTTAGTAATGTATAGGTATAAAATTAAGTCAGTCTCAGTCACAAGGGGGCGGCACAGTGGTGCAGTGGTTAGCGTTGTTGTCCAGGTTGTGAGTTTTGAACCTCCAGAAGTTCATGTGGAGTTTGCATTTGCTGGGTTTGCTCCAGTTTCCTCCCACAGTCTGAGGACAGGCACGGCGGGTTAATTGGTGATTCGTCGTGATTGTGAACACGTGTGGTCGTCGTCTCTTCACCCTGTGATGGACAGGACTGGGTGAACTCTGCATCTGGCACAGCATCAGCTCAGTCGGCCTCCAAGTCCTGTGACTGTCTACAGGATAAAACGGATCAACGACAGTGTTGCTTTCATCTGAACTGTAGTAAGAAAATTATTTGGAGCTCAGTAATGAGTTTATGTTACATGTACTCTATGTCATACATGTATTGTAAGCATTGATCACATGTACAGCAGCTCTTATGATTTTTGAGTGTGGTAAAATACATTCTTTTTGCAGTTGGAGAGTTTTTTTTATTGGAAATACGATTAAGCGCTATGAGCAGTCTCTGAGCTGAGTCTTTTTAACCATTCCTCTGACTTGTACTCTCTTGTGCCTTGAGATGAGTTTCCACTGAGTCTGTTCTTCAGAGGGTCACGCGGGGTGCATGTTACTGCCGGGAGGCGGGCTGTAAGGAGTGGTCCAGGGCAGCGGCGGGGTCGCCCTGCGTGACGGCGAGCGCGGCCTGCTCCGGCAGCAGGCTGGGGTCTGTCAGGATGGCCGTGGTGGTACTCAGGAGACGGAGTGAACTCAGAACCACTGAAGGGACACGAAGGAAATGACAAACATACGGATCAATGGCAGCAAGTGAAATATGGGTAGCTGCTGTGAATAGCGAGCTGGGATCTGTGTCCAACTCACTGGGTCTCAGTGCAGGCAGAGAACAGTGTTGGTCCAGCCAGGACAGAGTGGACCGACACAAGTCCTCAACGCTAGCAGTGGACACCATCCCATTGTAGGACTCAAACAGCGGCTCGATGATGATACTGAACTGACACTGAGTTGAGGAAAGATGTGTTCAAACTGGAAGGTTGGTGTTATTCTATACTTATCTTATTGTCAGCAAATCCATCCATCCATCCATCCATCCATCCATTCGTCCATCCATCCATCCATCCATCCATCCATCCATCCATCCTCTTCCCCCAGAGATAACGAATCCAACAAGGCAGACTTGGTAATGCCGTCAGACCTCCTTACTTTGCATCTGACAACCACTGGATTGGTTCCTACTGCAGACATTAATCTTTAAAAACAAGTCATAGATATGTAGTTTCATTTTATAAAGGCTTAGCAACTTCCACAAACAGCTGGGCGCTGTAGTTTTTAGCAAAAGTTACTCAAACAAGAGTCAAAGCTAAACTTGTTGGAGGGTTTTTCAAGCTGCAGATTAATACACTTTTTGTTCACCAATGATTACTTACAGCAGTAGCACAGTCCACAGGATACAAAATAAAATAAAAGACAGTGCCCACCTTCAGTGTTGTATTAGTTTGGATCAAGAATGCAGCTCTTTGGCACCTAGGACTACATATATCAGAAAATACTATTTTTATTTTGGTGGGATTTATTCACAACAAGAAACGTAAAGAAAAAGCATCAACGTTGTTCTGTAATGGTTGTTTTAGTCAACAAAAATCTCAACGAGACAACTGCCACTGTCTATGGAGAGGCCAGAAAACATCCACTAGACACTCTTGGTGAATAAACCATCCATCCATCATCTACACACCACTTAATCCTCACTAGGGTCGTGGGGGGCTGGAGTCTATCCCAGCTGACTCAGGGTGAAGGCAGGTTCACCTGGACAGGTAAGCAGTCTATCACAGGGCTACACTTAGAGACAGACAACCAAGCACACTCACATTCACACCTACAGACAATTTAGAATCACCAATTAACCTCAGCATGTTTCTGGACCTTGTGGGAGGAAGCTGGAGAACCTGGAGAGAACCCACGCTGCACGAGGAGAACATGGAGAAAGATCCCGGGTGTCCTCACCAGGACGCGAACCGGCGACCTTCTAGCTGCGAGGCAATGGTGCTAACCGAGCCTCTTGGTGAACTAGATGTTTTTAATTTAGAACATCTGTAGTGAGATAAACCTGCTATGTCTTCAGGAATCATTAAAAAAAAACACTTCAATATTCATGAAGAGGAAACATCCTCAAGGTGTTTTTGTGCAACATACAAAGATGATAAAGTCGTGATATAATCTCATCCTGCCTGCAAGATAAGGGCAGCAGTAATGGGGAGAGTTATGGATTAAATTTATATGATAATTTTTTAAGCAACACATTTTATCTGCTTGATTACTCCGAGACACCCAAAATAATGTGCTTCATTTTCTCAACAACAAATACATTGTTAAATATGAATATGCACAAAGGCCTGGTCTGCATGTTTTGTACCAAAGGCTGCAGTTCAGAGAATATTTTCTTTGCTAAACTGAACAAAAAAAAACAGCATCTTGCTTTGTTTCCATCCAGACTGGCGTAATGCTTGATGTAATTAGTTCATTTGGATTCAAAGGAAAAAAAGGGGTAGAAAACAAAGCGTGACTAGATATTCCTCCAAAGTCTGAAGATGCCAGATGACGCTACAGCCAGCGAACCTCACACAGGACTAGAGTAGGGACGTTTACTCAGCACTTGATTATATTCTTATCACATTTTTAGAGGTTTGTTTTAAAGTTTGTGGCCATGAAACCTTTGGTAGATTCATAAGGATACGATCCAGAACTTCCAGTTTTGCAGAGTCTGGGCTCGGACGTACTCTCTGAACTTCTGCCTCATGTGGTCAAAGCGCTGTCGAGTGATGGGAACACCGGTGGCTGGTAGCTGCTGCTGGCACGCACTGCATGGAGAGACACACTGAGTTAAGACGGCAGTGGATGGCAAGAAGGAGGTTTTGGTCTTCTGAGTGAACAATGCATGTACTGGTGGGCAAAATCGATAGACTGTTAAAGCAAAATATCATCCAGTTTTCATACATGTTGATACACTCACATGCTCACCTACATGTATACAAACACACATGCAGAAGTCGAGCTAAAGGTCTCACTTGATGGCTGAGTTTAGGAGCTGGATCTCCTCCCTGAGTCTCTGAGCCTCCTCGTGTAGCTGTGCTCTCTCCTGCTGCATCTTACTGATGTACTCGGCAGTCTTCTGCAGTGTGGTGGCTTTGCTGATCTGTGCCAGGAGACAGAAGGATTACTACAAGTCAGTCATACGCCACAATAACTCACTAATTTTCTGTATTATTGCGGCTGCTTTCCACATTAATACCGATGGTGAGATGTTTCCTGGGTTGGATTTACAAGTCAAACACTGTAGTTCTCCACTTAAACTCTGCAGCAGCTCAGCTGCTCTTTGATGCTCCCTCCCTTCCTCCCTCCCTCCCCCTCCACCACATCTATCTGTAATGTAGCTGCACAGCTTTTCACTGTACCTTTATGCTTGGCTGGGAGCTCAGTGTTGTCACAAGGTCATGTAAAGTGTCAAATCCCAGTTTGATGTTGAAACGCCTCTTCTGCTCTGCCGAGATGTGAGTTATCCTCCTGGTCTCTGTTTGCTGCAGACAGTACAGCTCAGAAGTATGTACAGCACACTCCACACCCACATGCACACACTGAGCTAGCAATCCCTTTCCTCTGCTATATTTATATCTAAACAACTGCAGCATTCATGAAAACACAAATATATGTCAATTAAATGAGACCGTTTGTCCTACCTTACTTGATTCTATTTTTCCATGTCCTGAGTAGCCTGAGTGTGGGGACTCAGGGTTGGAGGTTCTGTCTAAAGGGTTTGGTGGCGATGTTTGGCCTGGATGTGCTGGGAAACTGACTAAAGGAAACAAAGACACAAAAGATCACTTGCGTCAAATTAAATGACTGATATGCATCCCAAACTCTGCAGGACAGGGATGAGATCCATCACATTAGTTATATATGTTGTGTTATATGTGAATATAGTTCCGGTTGCTTGTGTTAGCTGTATCAGACCTGACTTTTTGCTCAATTCAACCTCATTTGATGAGAACATAAAGCAGAATTCAAAATGTTGCTGCTGAAAAATGCAGAGGTTTGAATGAGCTGTGTGATAATTATGGAAACTCAAAACGGAGAACATGTTGTAAAAGCTTCATCAGATGGAATATATAGTTTAAAAGATAATATTGTTAGTTAAATGATTTTAATCTTCTTGTGTATTATTACCACATTGCTCAACTTCCATATATGCAACACTAAAGTTTAGGATGAATCCTTTACTTCAAAAAGTTGGTTGCTGAGCATGTAAATATCCACGAGCCATATTGTGTATTTACTGAATGACTGAGACATGTTTCCCTGCAGCAGCGAGGGCCTACCGGTTAAGCTGCTTCTGTCTGCGCCGTACAGCTGGACAGGCGACAGCTTCTCGGTCTTGGGAATGAGCAGGGTTGTGCCGGTGTGCGTGGAGCCGTGGGTGAGCAGCGCAGACACTGCCGAGCCTCTGGAGGCGCTGCCGTGCGTCCCGGTGTGCCCCAGGCTGGCGCTCTGGCAGGGCAGGGGCGTCAACGCTGGGATCCCCGCAGGCCAACCGGCGCCGTACTGCAGCTGCGACGTGGCAGCGCCGACATGTGAGCCGCTGCCTGTCTGCTGAACAACACATGTGGTTAGAAGTGTCTTCAAGCACAAATGGAATCAGTTTGCACTGGGAGGATGTTAATGAGACCAGAAGCTCCATTAGGCATGCATGAGTACTGTGTTGTTAAAGAGACTTTATATTAGTTTCTTTAGACAACTTCCATTTAGATTAGACGAGCAGCAGAGGTCACCGGAGCACAAAGAATCTAACAGCTCTACAGATTTGACCTCTTTAATGCATTAGATTACAGCAGAAATGATAAAGGATACGGGGAGGGAAGCTAAGACACAAACAAGATTTAGTTAAGAGAGGGGGGCTGAAGTGTTTCTAATAAGTGCCTATTAAGTAATCACAGAGCACAGCGGCAGCAGTGATATTATAAAAAGCTGAACCTGCTGCTGCAACATAATAAATGAACTAAATCCAAAATTAGAACCTGCTGCTTAATTTCATCCTGAGAAAGAAGTGACTCAGTCAGACATTTTTTAGGAAATCTGCTTATTTACTTCCTTGTTGGGAGTGATGTGGATATGAACAAAAAACTAAAAGGGTATCGAGCTTAAATGCTGGAAACAGGTTGAATCAGCTGTCTCCTCACCTCTAGAGGTCACTAACATGTTAGAAGTCACTAGTTTAATCCAAACAAATACAAAGAGTAAAAGGTTTCACATTATAGCAGCACACACAAAGTTATCACGTAATAATGTGAAACAAGTGTGTTATAACAATAATTTAACACATTATAATGAGAAAAGCTTCATGTTATAACATTAATAGTTTATAGTGATGACAAAAAAGTTCCTTGTTTACATGTAATTTGTTTGTATGTCGTAAAAATGTGTTAATATGTTGTTATAGCGACCTGTCGTAACAGTACAAGTTCAAATTATGATGTTAAATTGATCCATTTTTCCTGTTTTGATGTGGCAGCCGTTCGCTTCTGTTATGACTAATTAATCTATATAATTAGTTTAATTCATATTAAAAAAAAACACCCATTTCTTGAACAATTGTAGTGACTTTCTGGAGTCCACAAGGAGACTGTGTTCAGCTAAGAATCAACAGAGACCTCTATAAATACTAGAACATGTGATTTTTAAAAAACAAATGTTGGATTCTGTGTGGATTAAACAAGTAGGATATAACACGCCTTAAAGGTGGTGGTAAGCAGATTTTGTTGGCTGTTCCCCTTTTATTTTTTATTTTTTATGCTAAGCTAGACTAAGCAACTGCTGGTTGTAGCTTCATTTATTTTTATTATTATTATTTATTATTATTTTTTCATTCATTTTCATTAGCAATTTCCCTGAGGTCTTGGACCGAAGGGATCAATAAGGTTTTATTCTAATTCTAATTCTAATTTCTAGCGTATAGACATTAGAGCATCAATCCTACGATGACATTCTCGTGAATAACAGATTTTTGGACAATGCTAAGCTATTCCTTTATAATTGTTGAGCCGAACCAGTTATTGCCCCTCGTGATACTTCAGGACAAGCTTACCGAGGAGCTTGGAGATGACGACCTTTGACCTTTGGCTGTCGCTAGATTAGAATCAAATCCCAACGCTGGCTTCCCTGAAATGACAAAAAACAATATCCAGTCAGTTTTTGGGACATAAGCATGATCCTGCTCTGAATAACTGTAGCAGGAGATAGAGGACGTGTCAGAGCTGACTCACGCTCATGGGCGCTGGAGGAGAGCAGCTTGGCCAGGCAGCTAGTGGCCGTGGAGGCAGTAGACGGAGGGCTGGTCGGCACCGCGCAGGGACCAATTGCCCTCGCTCCTCCTGTCTTTTGCTTGTGCTTCCCTCTGACCCCTGTAACTGCCACCTGCTCCGGGACCGAGAAGCAGTGGGTTGTGGTGACAGAGGGCAGAGCGGCGTGGACCAGGTCAGACACGGCAGCTGAGTAACTGAGAGGGTGGCAGGGAGTCTGGGAGTACGTGTCCCCCGCATGAGGGTAGCCATGAGTCTGGTGCACGGAGCCCTGAGCCCCCACGGTGGAGGCCGTGTGAGTGATGACAGTGGAGGTCATGCTGGTTGTTGTGTGGTAGCCAAATTTGTGACACGGCAGCGGGTACAGAAAAGGAACACTCGCAGGGGCCGGCTGCTCGGTGCTGCTGCTGAATGCTATGGGAGCAGGTGGGTCGTGGTATGACTGGTGTCCGTACGGCATGGCTCCCGATATGATGGGGGACGTGTGGTATTCGCCGCAATCCTGGCCGGGCCTGGTCTGGTCCGGCTGGGTGTTGGACGTGGAGGGTAAGTTGTTGGACGACAGATTGGGCTGGAAGAGAAAGATTCAGTCCAGTTCACAACAATAGTAATATTAGTTCCTGCAGCAGTGAGGAGGAGCCGCTAGCAGTACCTGAGCGAGCTGGGTGTCGATCAGCAGCTGAGGAGCTGTCACCACCGGGGAGGGAACCGGAGCGAACGCCGCGCTGGATGAACTCTCATAATAACCACAGTCAGTAAACCCAGTCTGCTCAGAGGGCTGGCCCCGGTAGTTCATGAAGATGTCTGAGAAAACCACACACAGGCTGTTAGGAAGAACACTGATACACCCGGGAGACCTTTACCATTCTGAGCCTAATACCAATACTGAAATTTGGGAGTTTAATAAATCCACTCATAGTATTTGCTACAAAAAATATATTTAAGCAAAGCCCTCAGATTTGTTTTTTCATTGTGACTCCATACATGTGGGACAGTGCTCTCTGCTGGGAACACTATGTAATGCTGTGTGATGTTTCTGAATAATCCAAACATAATTTTGGGATTTCTGTGCTGCAGTTTCTTACAAATATGAATATTTTTGCAATAAGCTGATATTAGCTAATTTATCAGTCAGGTTCCAATTCTTTTTGACATAAATTGCAAGAACAATTGAATTTTTTATTTTTTTTGAAATATTTATATATATATTTATTTTATTGAATTTCCCTTCTGGGATAAATAAAGTATTTTACATTTCATTCATTTTCATTTCAACAATTTTTCACAGCACAAAGTATAACAGATCTCTCAGTCCACACACAATACTGCAAAAAGTAATTCACATTTTATTCTTCATTTAAACGAAAAATCTATTTTTCAAGACAAAACCTGGTAAAGAAATTAACCTATGGCGAAAATGTTTTAAAAACCACTTGAGCAGGTCAAGGAAAGTGTCACCTTGGACTTAAAATGGAGAATAAATTGATTAGCCACAACATTAAAACCACCGACAGATGAAGTGAATAAGATCGATCATCTCATTTCAGCCCAATGTTCTTCAGGGAAACCTTGCGTCCTGTCGTTCATGTGGATGTTATTTTGACAAACACCATCTACCTAAACAAGCACCACAACATCAGCGTTCTCCCCCAGGAGGAAAATGCACGCAGTCACAAACTGTGCTCAGAAAAGGCTCGAGGAACACGACCAAGAGCCCAAGGTGTTGAGTCAGCCCCATAGCGGCGCCCAGGATCCATGAAGGTCCCACACCACAATCCACAGACCCTGAAAGATCCACCCAAAGAGGTGCTGTGGTTTCAATGTTGCGGTGTAGTGCGTATAAGAACGTTTACTATCTGGTCAGTGACTGCAGTTTGAGTCCAGGCAGTTACTAAACACATTAGATGTGTGATTATAGCACATCTTAAAAGACTTAATAAAACATCCACAGCTAGTAGAGATGAAAGGCTACAGAAAAGTTCTTGAATAATTGATCTAGAGGCTACTGATGCTTTTTGATGTAGATGAAAAGTTTAGCTTTGAATTAGTTGACATTTAAATGATCGAGCGATGTGACACCACATGACAGGAGTCATTCCTGTCAGTCTGCTGCTTGATATGACACTCGTGGCTCAGCGTCACAAATACAAACAGCCAAACAGGGAATAAGAACACAACACCCGACAGCGTGACGCTCTCTCTCTCCCTCTGCAGGTGTCGGTCACTAACGCTGTTTGCTTTGTATCTGCCAGGTCGCACATTTCTGAGCAGATAAATATTAACTCACTTGCTTCAGCTGGCTGCCATTAGCGCGAACGGCGTTCAGAATTGCAGGCGCGATAGCTCCGGCTGCAAATACATACCAGAATGTTTGTGTTTTCATCTCAGCAAGAGGAAACTTCTGGCACGACACGCTGTATTTCCATTTAAGAGACGGCTGTGCATGAATTAATCTCATGGCTGTGCCGCTCCGACAGACACTCTTTAGCTCTCTGGACCTTGTGACCAAAAGCGAGGCAGACAGCTGATCCCTCAGGACCCTGCCAGTGCAGCGAGAACAAACACTGGCACACACACACACACACACACACACACACACACACACACACATTACAGAAGTGGGCAGCAGGTTGCCTGTCGATTACAACGGCTGACTTGTAGCCACGGGGCTGCTGGATTGCTCCACTGAAAGTAACACAAAGGCCAAAAAACCACAGTCATTGTGCCCCTGAGCAAGGAACTGAACTCCAGTATGCTTCCCCTCTTCTGCCTGAAGCTCTTCTGCTCTCTTAGTGCAAGAAAGCGGTTTGCTATCAAACGCTGTTGGCTCTCAAGAGGCCAGTGGAGGCATAAAACTTTTTCTGGCCCGTCACGCCCTCAGGGACGTATCAATAAACATTAACTTGTAAAAGGACTCAGGAGTCACCGATCAGAAACGGAAACTTCCTCACATTTGATCTTTAAACTGAGTGTGTGAAACATTATATCATAGTTTACGAAGACATTTAGCTTTAACTAAGTTTGTTTTTTGCTACTTGAGGCTGCAGATGCAAGGTGTTAAATGATTTTGTAAAGTTTTTGAGTTTGCTAAAAGTTGCATATTCTCACATTAACAACAGGTACAGAGCAACACTGAAACAGGTGAATATTAGTCACATATTCTTGTCTCTCCATCTCTGGTTTTGGTCTCTTGGCTGACCAGGAAGCGCCTCAAAAAGCAAACGCTGAGATGAAATTGGCTGCAGACCTACATCCAGTGTTAAACCAGTGGTATACATCTATGAGTACATCAGGGTCCACATGACTAAAATGTTGCCATGTGCACAAACCCCCCGGAGTCCACGTGGACCCCTCTGTTGATGTCTGCACGCAGCCTGAAATACACGTCTTCATTGCAGCTACACTACAAGGCCGTGTTGTGCATACGCAAAATATGTACATGCCAATCTACGGCGAGAAAGTAGTTTAACAACAGCAGCTACATGTCTGGGGTGTCAGCAGCTGTCTGTGTCTACAAGGCCTTCAAGGATCTGCTGCGTGTCCCGTGCAGCCCAAAACAACAATAGAGTACGTAGAGGCGGATCTACATGTGTACAACGGAGTCCTGTCAGCAGACTCCAAGTGGACTAGAAGCAGCTACACATCCTCATGACCTCATCAGCAGTGGAGCATAATGAAGGAAGTGCAGATGTGGAGGAAGCGTCTCTGTGGGTTTGTCACAACAAGCAACGCCTTTCATATCGGATTCACTGTTATAGAAATATTGACTACAGCTGCCTTAATTAATGATCATAATTAACGACAAGAATCAGCATCATGTTAAAACAACAACTTTCTTCTAATCTGCATTTCCTCCAGAGCTCACCATCGCTCTGTTTATTTTATACATTTGGAAAACAGGTGGTGCCAAAACCAGTAATAGCGGATAAATGCATCCTCTCCCACTTCCTCATTCTCCTGCTCACAGCTCAGCCCTGCCTTTGACCACTCTGTGACCTCTGAGGTCCAGATTATACACTGCAGACACTGCACATCAACGGGGGAGTGTCCGGTCCCACAAGAACTGACTTATGTGACGAACACAGGCAAAAAAAAAATGAATCCTAAGCAAAGTCTGCACCGAGTGAATTCAGGTTTGAGCACTTTTTTTTTTTTTTTTTACAAAAGCAGGATAAGTACCTAGAATAGAGAAACTGTTTCTCTATTCACGGCATGACAACTGTGGTAGCTCTCATCACATCTTTGAGTCCACAAGTTTTCAAGCTGTCATCAAAAGTTTAGTGTCATTGAATAATTTACAAGTAGTTTAATGAATATCTGCTGACAGTCCTTGACAACATGCGAAGATCTCATTGGCTGGCAGACAGACAGACAGACAGACAGACAGACAGGTATGGAGTACCTGGTATGTCCATGAAATCGTCCAGGTTGGGCTGCAGCGGAGTCAGTCCAGGCTGAATAATATCAGCGTTGCTGGTGTACGCTGAGGAGGAAGAGAACATAATATTAGAAATAAGAGAGATGCTGTGTTATTATGTGTGTTTTAGGAAGGTCTTCTATCTTCTCATGATGAATTTCCTTATTTGTTCAGTGGGTTCCACTGGTTCCATTGCTGATACACGAGACCACCAGCAGCACCAAGTGACAGAAATGTGGCGATGACCCAGAAAATCAAAAGTATTTTTATTCGATATTACATTTTTTTGTTTTCTGACTTTGAATTTTTTCTCTTGCCAATAGTTAGACGTTAATACAGCTTTTATATCTTCCAACATGTGGCAGCTGCTAGCTTAGCTTAGCAAACAGAATGAATCACCTCTAGAGGTTATTAATGAACATGTTATATCTTGTTTATTCCACATCAATCGGCGACCTCCAGCACTGGAAACTGAAGCCAAGTTCTTTGAATTTCCACTCGATGTCTGCTATAATCTCTAGATTGTTTCGTTAAATGTCCACGCTCATGTTGAAATGTCCAACAGCTGGTTCAGAAAATGGTTTTGGTCTTTATCGCTAGTTTTTCCCATCACAGCTGTACAGGGTGTGAATTTTTATACACCTCATCTGGTTGTTACGGCTTTAAGTTCTGCATAATATAACTGATAATTTGGGACGTCACGGGCAGTTACGTGCAGAATATGTGCTGTTCTGGTGCGGTGACACCTTCTTGGAGCTGTGTGGTCACTGTTGGGCTTTTCAAACAGTTCAGAACAGAATCAGTTCAAAACCACATGTCCTGGAGCAAAATGATGCATTTTGACCAGAGCACCAGTTCTCCAATAAAGTCCTGCGGGCGGTGGTTTTTACCGACTCTTTCACAGCTTCTGGAAGTAAACCCTTTGGAGCTTTTCCTGAAATTCAGCAGGTATTGACACTAAAAGTTCTTCAGACAAAGTAACACACTCTCGTCCTTTTTGCTTTTTTAATTTTCCCCTTTTGATCCGACTGGCATCTGCTACTCTCTGGGAACCAATATTTTAGCTTTTCGACTTTAGAGGTGCTATTAAACAGCTTTTTAAACTTTTAGATAGAAATCAGACGCCTCTGTTTTCAGTTTTTATGTTAAGCTGAGCTACACATCAAACACAGACAGACACGTGATCAAACCTCTCATCTAGCTCTCAGCAAGAATCAGTACAATTTCCCATAATGTCCTTGCTTTTCCTTAAAATACTCACAACTAAATAACTTATTGAAAGTTGGAGAGAAAAAGTCAATCTCATGTGAAACGCTGTCCTCATTTGTAGTGAGACACTAACTTCACATCAGCAACAACTGCTTTAACAACTGATTGAACTGATTTAAAAAAAGAAAATGAAGCAGACCCAGGATGTTATTGTCAGCTGAATGATGAACAATCAAACAGAATTATTGTAATCTAGTCGTGCAGCATGTTGTGTTTAAACAGTCATTTGATGCTAAATTTGAGCCAAAACTCACAGCTGACTGTCATTTTCTAAACTTCACGGCGGGAATCACTCACTGTTGTGCCGGTCACTCGTCCAGGCGCACGGCTTCTGCGTCATGGTGAACAGGGTGTCGGAGATGTCGGACAGGAGGCAGTCCAGGTCAAACATGTGGGCCTCCACCGGGGCAGCTTCGGGCTCCTGGTAGATCTGATTGGACCTCTTGTCCAGCTTGGCCTGGCAGATCTGACCCTGGAGCACATCAGCCAGGAATCAAAAACATGATCTGGGAAGTCAATCCTCCATCTTTCCATTAGAGGGCTCCCTACAGACAGGACTGAACAGGCCTCGACGCAAAATGAAGCATTGATGGCATTTGGTTCTCCTCATTTGCTCAAACATTCGTTGCCATAAAAAAAAAAAAAAAAAAAAAAAAAAAGACTGTAATTTGTTAGTTTTGTGGAAAATTAGCAGATCTGGTTATCCTTAAAAAAACAAACCCAACTCACTAAAATGCAAAAATCAAAACAGCAAGAAAAGCTATTATGTAAATGACACACATACAGCAGCTGCATCTTCTCCATCATCGCATCCAGTCAGCCAGAAACTAGTCACAGCAACATTTTTCTCTTCTTGAAACCCAGTTAAAAAAAAAAAAAAAACTCACAGAAACTGAATCTCCAGACCTGGCCTTGTCCCTCTGGTCGGGATGCTTCGCTTCACCCTGATCTCCTCCTTCGTCTTTTACCCCCGACTTGTAAATCGGAGGCCACATTTATAGAGAAGCCCAGATTGAGCCGGAAACTGTTCAGTCTTGACATATTGTTCAAATACACTCGCCCCTTACAGGTCATCAACGTGGGCTTTGTTCATGTCTTTATTTTGATGTCTCACAATTTCAATAACAGTGGCAGCCTTTTGTCCCTGACCTAATTCTGTTTGCTTGCATGTGCGAACAAACAGACCTGAAGTTCCTGCCAACGCAAACCGCTGTTGCGTAGGTGAGAGAAAAAACTGCATGTGAGCGCCTCCGAATTTCTCCCTCTTTATACTTTGTCAGGGGTTTTCTGCAGAACGTGGCATTAAATCCATGTGAAATGAGCAACGAGCAGATATTAGATGGGAGTAAATAAAACAAAAAAAGATTATTTAGAGGACACAAATACAGCGAGAGTGAGGCTCGATGAGGTTTGTATTGATATGACAGCAAGCAGAAAGCAAGAAATGAACTTCCACAGGCTTACAGTTTGAACGGACACTGAAGCAGGTATTGGAAATAATCACAATTAGGGTTCTGACGACTTGCACATATCACAGGTGTAGATATTGGCTCATGGCTGCTCTGTGAGGCTACACTGTGGTGTTTTGAACTGAACTACAGTCTGATTGATATTAGATCTTTGCTGAAATGCTGAAACCTATTGTAGGCAGTAAAAAAAAAAAAGTATATTAAAATATAAGCCAATATTTATATATGTGTTAGAGTTACATTTAAAATGTAAAAAATGATGGGGTACTTGGTTGTCTGTCTCTAAGTGTAGCCCTGTGATAGACTGGTTACCTGTCCAGGTGAACCTGCCTTCGCCCTGAGTCAGCTGGGATAGACTCCAGCCCCCCATGACCCTAGTGAGGATTAAGGTATAGAGATAATGGATGGATGGAAAATGATGGGGTAAGTGTTCATTAATTTTCCAGAAGTGTCACCACTTGACTCCTTACCACTGTCTACTCAACCGTGATACCAACTCTGCTACATGTGCTGCAGACAGTACTGAGAATATTGAAAATAAAAATTAAAAATGAGTTGCACTTCTGGATCCACGTAGTGATGAAACATTTCTGAATTATCCCGAGCATCTTTTTCTGCATTAAAAACGGTCACACATCAACCAGGCTCTAATGCTAACATTAGCATGCTAACCAGGAGACAGTTATGATGCTGATGCTAATTGTAGCATGTTGCAGAGCAATGTGTCAAAAATTAAAATCGCACAAATCCACCAAATGTTATCCTCATTGCAGTGAGAGATGAAGATTCAAGGAATCACTGCAGTCTTTAAGATTCATCCACAGGGGGACCATGAACATCTGCACCAAGATACACCTAACAGTCTGGGTTAAACTTTGACATGACCCTTCCTCAGAGGAACACTCAGTAGAAAGCTCTAGTCAGCAGAATTTAACCTCTAGGGAGGCGTAGAAAACCTCACGGCAGCCCACCAGGGTAAGGTTGAACAACACGTGTCAACATCTTGTTAGTATTTGATTAAAAGTCAAGAGATTGTTAGACGGATCTATTGTCTGGGGACGCAGCTGTACAAAGTTTCATGGCATCCGTTCCTTCCTCAGATATTTCCGTCTGGACCACGCTGGCAGACTGACCAGCCGTCAGAGCAGCAGACAGACTTTGGTCAAACCGTTTGAGTGGCTTAAATCAATAGTTTGTCATTGTCAAAGTGCAGACTCCATATGTTGTGCAGTCCTTTTTCTCTGTTGCTGTTTAGGACTTGGATTTTTCTACCTCGCAGGACTTTTAGTTTGCTCTCAAACTGACTGAAGTTTTAGTATAAAGACTGACTGTCTCTTGTGTAACTCGAGTCTATAACAGATTTGACCTATTGAAAGATGATGCATGGTGATTGTTAAGCTGCTTTATCTGCACGTATCACATTTTATGAGTTTGTGGCTGCGGATAAAATTATATAGGCAATTAAATTCCAGACTGGAGCTGTGAGAGCAGAAAACAGTCATAAAGTATACGACACAAACACTAATACTACAGAAACAACCCTTTGCCAAAGTGTCTCACCTGGTACTGGATGTAATCGGCTTCGAGAAAGGCCAGATAACACTTTGTGAACACAGAGTATAAAAACCTGGTTTAGTGATCTTTGACCTGTCAGCTATGTGCTGATATGTGCTTTTTGAAGAGCCGTAAAATGATCAACAGACACAAGGTCACATACAGTATTATTATTGGAGTGTCCTCAATCCTGACCTCAGTTAAATGAGGCCTTCCAATGACATTAAATCCAAGATGGACTAAAAATAGCGGGCTGATGATAACAAAGGTCAGAGGGACAAAAGTGGGATAGCTCAGTCTGATTACATGGAATACACAGAAACTTGATCGTCAAAGGAATTTAAAAATATGTTCTAAAAAAGTCTGCCACTTCGAGTGAACAGACGTAAACCTTTGCAGAGTATAACGTTGCCATGAGCAACAACATGTTTTACATTTTCCCCTGAATTAACTATTAACAGTTCATTTTTGCTGTATGCTACTGGATGGACTGACAACTGAACTACAGGTTCTGAGGTGTTCCCATTCCTGTCCCAGTTCACACCCTGAGCTACACTGTGTTCTGCAAACTGAGCTTCATTCTTTCGCCTTCATGTTTACACTTTGAATGCAATGAATTATCCGTAAATATAAGATCCTGACGTGCTCTTCCATTCATGATCTTGATTAGTCTTATAATAACAAGAACTGAAATGCTTCACAACTTGTCTGAGATTCCCCAAGATTTCTTCAGTATTCAGTGATGACACGTGACAAAGTTTAGTACTTAAGTACAATTATAAGGTACATGTACGTTACTTAAGTATTTCCTCTTTATACTACTTCAGGCCTTCACTCCACTACGTTTATCTGACAGCTTTAGTTACTTTTAAGATGAAGATTTTACACAATAGATAACAAAACATGCTTTAAAAACACAAGACATTGTTAAAGATTAAACCGGTAGTTTGCTTTCTGTTAAAAAGCGACATGTAGTCGGACTCAACGAGCTTTTAGCAGCTCAGTCAAATTCAGCTTTTAACATGGTTTAATTCCAATAAATGTTCCAATATATCATCAAAAGTTCAACACAGAAAACAAATTTGAGCATCAAATCTTTTACATATAAACACGTGCTGAGCGCTCAGATGTACCAGTTGTCTCTGTGTATAGCAGTTATATGGCAGGACTTCTACTAGCTGATCAAGCTCCATCTGCAGCAGCTACAACAGCAACATGCTGCTCACACACTGATGCTTCACTATTAGTAACATAATGATGGCTGATATAAGAATACATCCGTACACACCAAACATGGACCTTTACTTTAATGATTGAGTCCTCAGAACCTCAAACAGTTTCTGGACGTTTTACTTAACGTGGACTCATTTTCACTGCAACATAAAGTCCTGCACCTCTATGGACACAGCACAACCATCGTGGTTAGAAGTAAAGAGAAGCCAGTAATGTCCTCTGTGCAGCATGATGCAGGTCCAATGCATGATATGAACGCATGAAAACATTAACGTGGATTTCTTTGAAAACTTATTTTACAAAAACTGAAGCCTGTAATCAACATTTACTAGTAAGTGTCCAGAGATGTTAAAACACTGAAATAAGTGGCGGTCCTACATACTGAACAGATATTTTTTTACTGATATGTTTAATTTGTCTCTATGCAGTTCAGCTGAGACGTCCCAGACTCTGGGTCACTAAAGGCACAGAATTTTTCACTGTTTACAGAGTCTGATTAAAGCAAATTGTTATTTAAATACAAAAAAAGTGACATACAGCAAAGTGTTTTTGATGGGATATCATGATTTTTGCTTAGATTTGATTAATTTTCCTGATGAACAGCCACAATGTGGACTGACAGACATCAGAAACTTAAAAATCCAGTAACTCCTTCTGTTTTTACAGATTCTCGCTCTGCTAAATGGTGAAATTTCTTCACAGACAACATGATTTTTAAACACGCTGGTGGGTTTTGGTGTTCAGGGGCTGACTTCATTTTGATGCTAGTATTTATGAACTTTAATTTAATCAGGTTTTTTTTTTTTTTTACTTTGGTGTAACGGTACTTTTACTTAATCATTTAAATACTTCTTCCATCGCTGACCGATCCAGAGTAATCCAGTGATGGTTGTCAGTACGGAAGGTAAACAAACATAAAGCGGGGCTCATCTCGCCGTCTGCTGCGTCACTCTCTGCGAGTACTACCATGAATGAGGTGCTTCCCCAGGGTCCCTCCCTCTCGCCGCCCCCTCTCCTCTTTACCTCTAAGCCTTTTGTTTCTGTCGCCCCTGGCGTCACTCTCAGACCCGGTGTCTCTCTGCTGCTCGGCTTTTTACAAAGCGCTGCTCGAAGTAGGTCAGATTTGATTAAATGACATTAAATTTTGCAGCCATTTCACTTGTATGGAGATAATAAAAAAAAACGTGAAGGGGTGTCGGAGGTATTGTCGCTGCTGACAATCAATGTGCGTCAGTTGTCTACAAATGTCAAGCTGTGATGCACGGCGCAAGCTGTCGCCCATTTCTGGGAATTTTTTTAATGATCATATGTTGACTCCAGCATTCAGAAGTAAACAACGTTTGCAGGTCACCAACACACACCATGTAGGCTGGGCTCAGTTCAGACCCTAAAGGTCCCAATCAATATTAGAAGAGTTCATTTACAAAAACAGATAACTCTATATTTGTAGATTTTCAGAAACGTTTGTTGTTGTTGTTGTTTGCTTGAGATAATATCAATCAAACTGAAGCTGAGTGGATCTGACTCAGCAGAAATGACAAAAACAGAGATAACTTCAGTTTGGTCATCAGGTAGACGGAAAAGCGGCTTTTCTGAAGGTTTGTGTGGATGGAGTTATCTGTTTTTGTAAATGAACTCTTTATTTGTTTACCTTAATGTGTTTCCACGACTAACAGAGAGACACATTCTAATCGGAGTAAATCCGGACTTGACTTACCTCTTGCAGCATTGATAGAATATCATCCTTCTTTTTCTGAAGCTGCAAAAGAAAATAAGAGAAACAGTGAGCGGCTTGATTTGGAGTCGACAGCCCACACATCTACTGCATTCAGCTCTGTTTCACCTTTAGCACAGCAACATTTACTAATTAGTAGTGATGCACGATATTAACATTTATGGCCGATACCGATATTAAGATTTCTGGTATCGGCGATAACCGATATTAGCGATGCCGATATTCAGTTTTTGTTCACGCTGAAAGATGAGTAGAAGTAAGCACTGTGAGAAACTATTCAAAAGAAGCCCAAATTAGACCACATAGTCTTCTTTATTAACTAAAGTAAAACATATTTAAACATATTTTAACATGTATAGCGTTCAAGTCCAGGAAAATTTTAGTAAAAAAAGCGCTAATGTTAGACAATCATCGGTTTCTGACATCGGCTACATTTGTTCATTAGACCGATACCGATATATCAGAAAAAACACAAATATCGGCCGATACCGATGTGGTCGCCGATATATCGTGCACCTACACTAATTAAACACAAAGTAGAGCCGCTTTCCAATGGGAAACATGAATATACTGTGTGCAATCTGTCCATTAGATCAATGGTTACCAAAGTGAGGATCAGGGTCCCCGTGGTGGTCATTATCACATTCACATCTGGAGCAAACATCAGTGATGCAAATCACACAGCGACACGATCCTGACAGCTGTGATGGAGCTCAGGAGTCAAGCTGAGGACGGCCGCTACGTAGCAAATGATTTAAAGTGTGACTCTGTGTGACAGCTCACCTGTCTGAGGTGAAGACAAACACACCATGTGACCTGCTGTTAGAGCTCGATTGATCCTGTTACCATGTTGGGATTGTTTATAATCATTAGTCAGTGATGAAGGTAGTGGTGCTGCTTGATGCTACAGAGGAAAGACTCCTACAAACACTAAACTTCAGCTCTGGTCAAACCCTGAATTCCATTTATGACTGGTGGTGTCATCAACCTGCCCTGTTAGATTTC